GGGACTTTGGTAACCGATACGCCTATACGAACTTGGTGACCTGTTTCAAGGGACTTTGGTAACCGGTATTTTACGAACTTGGTGATCACGTGAAGCAGCTCACCAGGATATGGGGTCACGGGTGGTCAGTGGTGTTGGTTGGAAATTGGAATTACGTTTGTACTCAGGGTTTTATTATCTGTTGGAGAGAGAGAGAGAGAGAGAGAGAGAGAGAGAGAGAGAGAGAGAGAGAGAGAGAGAGAGCCGTGGCCAGTTTTGTGTCTACGTTGCTCTGATAATAATAATAATAATAATAATAATAATAATAATAATAATAATAATAACAATAATAACAATACTTAATAATCATAACAACAACATTAGTACTGTAGTCGAGTATAGTGCTTAATCAGTTTCTTAAATTAAAAAAAAACCAATTACCAGGTGTATCTTTACGAGTTGACTGTTCACAACATCACTGTGTATACGGAATGGTTGTGAATATATGTTCAGGCTCGTAGCTAAACGTAAAGACGAATTATACAACACTTGGTGTGTGTGTGTGTGTGTGATGCGCAGGTATGTAGGTTGTGTATGTGTAGGTATTTAGGTTGTGTATGTGTAGGTATTTAGGTTGTGTATGTGTAGGTATGTAGGTTGTGTATGTGTAGGTATGTGGGTGTGTATGTGTAGGTATGTGGGTGTGTATGTAGGTATGTGGGTGTGTATGTGTATGTGTATGTGGGTGTGTATGTGTGGGTGTGTATATGTGGGTAGGTATGTGGTATGTGGGTGTGGTATGTGGGTGTGTGTGTGTGAAATATGGAGTAACGGAAGACTACTGGCACCCCCCACCCCCACACAGTAAGGTACACGTGGTTGTGGTAGATGGAGTCCCGTTGTGTTGTTGCACTTATTATGATAATGTTCAGTGATGTGGTGGTGGCTCTCTTCTCTTCTCTTCTCTTCTCTTCTCCTCTGTCACCCACTGGAAGGATACACTTCTCTCGTCTCCTGGTTAGTTAAGTCCTCATGCCAGTCGTCTCTTCTTTGTCTCTCCGTGTCCTTTCCTCTTTCCCTTCTCCTTTTCCATGTTCAATCTTTTCCTTCTGTCTCTTCGCGCCCTCGTGAATGTGTGTGTGTGTGTGTGTGTGTGTGTGTGTGTGTGTGTGTGTGTGTGTGTGTGTGCGTGTGCGTCCACATTCTTTCTTGGTTTTCCAATGTTTTTATCTCTTCTCTCTCGTGTGTGTGTAGTTGTGCTTCGCTTTACTGTACAAGCTTATGTATTGGCATCAGTGTTGTCAACTTTGCTACCCCCCCCCCCTTCTAGATGACCTTTAATCGATTTTTTTGGGGGGGGAAACTGGAAGGAACACACACACACACACACACACGGGGAGGCTCGAAAGACAGCATCGTGATAACTTTTGAACTCCCTGGACTGGCGGGCCCTAAGAGAGCTTGAGTGGTGGTACGGGAATGGATCTTATCACCGTTGTACCGGGGCGTGTGATTGGGCCCAGTTGCCTCAGTCTGTTGTGGATGAATAGTTTCACACGTATTCGGACCCACAGCATTAAGATGGGATTATAAAAGCTTCCTAGTAGGGTTAGGTTAAATTAAGCTTGGTTAGATTATGTTATATAGGTTTATGTGAGGTTAAGTCAGGTTAGGTTAGGTTGTTTGATCAGGTTAGATATGGTTAAGTTAGATTTAGTTAGGTTAGGTTAGGTTATATTAGCGTTAGGTTAGGTGAGGTTAGGTTATATTATATTATATTAGCGGTAGGTTAGGTTAGGTTATATTAGCGTTAGTATTTAATATCCAAGTGAACTAAATTGGAATGTCTAATCCTCACGTGAACCGTAACATAAAATCCTTTCGCCATTATTATTATTTTCATTATAGACAGGTTTTGGCAACAAGAATTTAGGAAAATGTTAAGTGAGAGGAAGTTGAAAGTGTGTCTTGGGAGGGATTTTCCAGGCAGGAGTCAATAACCTATAAGCCCCCCCCTGTGTTCCCATTATCTTGATATTCTGGTTAATGGAGGTGTTTTTTTTGTAAAGGGTGGTGGGGGTGATTAGTATTGTTTATGGTTACGTTCTTCTTTACTGTGTTTGTTTGTTTGTTTGGTAAGATGATTTGGTTAATGCTTTTGTTTGTTACTTTTTTTCATTGTTTGTTTGTTTTATTTATTCACTTCTTGTGGTTTTATGTCATTGCGTTGTTTCTTTTTTATTTACTCGTCTTTTTCTCGTTGTGATCCTCTTCCTGTTTCTTAATACGTATTATTCTTCTATTATCATCTTCCTTCTTCTATCTCATCTTCTTCTCTTTCTCTGGTCATTTTCTTCCTTCCTTTCCTTCATCTGTCTCCTCTTCTTCCTTTCATTCTTTTACCTGCTCCTCTTCTTCTTCTTCCTCTCTACTACCTCCTCCTACCTCCTCCCCCATTTCCATCATCTCCTCCTCTCCCCATCTCCACTATCTCCTCCTATCTCCTCTCCCCATCATCTCCTCTCCCCATCTCCACTATCTCCTCCTACCTCCTCCCCCCATCATCTCCTCCTCTCCCCATCTCCACTATCTCCTCCTATCTCTCCCATCATCTCCCTCTCCCCATCTCCACCATCTCCTCCCTCCATATCCATCATCTCCTCCTCTCCCCATCTCCACTATCTCCTCCTCCTACCTCCTCCCCCCGTCATCTCCTCCTCTCCCCATCTCCACTATCTCCTCCTCCTACCCCCACTATCTCCTCCTCTCCCCCTCCATCTGCGGAGAGGTAATGGTGGTGGTCCTCCCCTTCACATTTGCGTAACCTATACGACAGGAAAGTAGCTATTTGTGGCTAGGTTGGTCAGTGTCGCCGGGAGAGAGGGGAGAGGGGGGTGAGAGAGTGGGGGAGAGGGAGTGAGCTACGGAATGAGAGAGAGAGAGAGAGAGAGAGAGAGACAGACACGAACTGCCCTCTCGAACTCTGATACACTAAAAAGAATAAACATTTATAGGTGGACTCGGGGTCTTGGCCACTACACCAACGTCGTATATGGTGTAGCAAGTGTTGTGTTATGGTGCCCTGACAACACACAGCCAACACACTTCTCATGGATACACCTATTAGATAAGAAATACCTCAGGGCAGTTTCGTACTTGCCGTGATTACCGTTGGTTGGGACCGAATTCCACTGGATAGTATCAAACCGGGTTCTTAGCTCCCGTCTGAAAGTTTTCCAATGGACTAAATACCGTCACGAAATTAGTAAGTTATCCGACCTGGTAATGGATATTTTCTCTATACGGTATCCAGTTGGGTAATTTATTTATTTATTAGTTTTTGGCTACAATTGTCCACATGGTGTCGTTGTGGTGGTGGTTGATGGTTGGCGTCCGCAGGATTTTGGTTAACTTTTCATATACTGTTGTGATTTTCAGCTAAACATTTGGTACAGAAAGTATTTATTATCCACCTCAGTAAATCTACAGAGAATGAACCAAATCCAACAGGTAACGCACGTGGCTGCTACGGGACCTAACCTTGAAGGATTGTTGAGGTGGTCATGTTAATGGTGTTTCTTGTGAATGATTCATAGACAACACTATAAACAAGGAGAGATGAATGGCTATGTAAATGGAAGCTATTAACGACTGTAGGGGTGTAGGCTGGCAGTTAGCCGAGGGCCTATTCATATAAATCAACACGAGCAACTATCCTGCCGGTGCATCTCAAGACAAAACAACACTAACTTTTAAGTCTTTTATCCCTTGTTGGGTCATTATTTAGTAAGAATGTACACTTTACGGCGACGGTACCAGGTCAAGTTCCTCAGGTGACCAGCTGGGTCTGATCTGAGTGACCAGCCAAAGGTTCACCTGAAAACTTGAGTGAATTGATACCAGCGACCGACCAGCCAGATGACCAGCTGACCCTCAATAAGGAGGATGACCGACACTCAAGGTTAGGAGACATAGGACATACAGTGGCGTCTTCGGATTACATCTATGTAGACCAAGTTGTGGTGGGGGCAAGGTCAGGCTTCGAGGAGGAGCTGGAGGGTGAGTGAAAGTTTCTATAGAGAGGGAGGGTGGAGGGAGGTGTCGTGTGGACGTGACCTTCTGGGAGGCGATATCCCTATGACACTAACAAAGGAACTCGAACTGTATTCCTTTCTGTGTGTGTTTTTATTATTGGGGATGACAGATATACAGGACAAGAGGTAACGAAATGTGTGTGTGTGTGTGTGTGTGTGACTCAGAATAACGAGGAGGAGAAGGAATAAGAAGGAAAGTAAAAAGGAAGACGAAGGGTACAAGAAGGGAAGGGGGTGAGATCCTACTGTATCAGGGAGGAGGAGGGGAGGAAGCCAGCAAAGTACAATAGCTGAAGTTTGCAGTGAAAGTCATTTAGGTCGGGAGTTGAGGTAGTTTGGAGGAGGAGGAGGAGGAGATGTGGTGAAAGCTGGTGGCGGTGGTAGCGGACCTGTGGCGGTGTTTCTATGGCGGCACCCTTACCACCACCACTTCGCACTACTATAGTCACTACTTATCCTCAGCGTCACCAGTCAGCCGAGTTACTGAGGCATTCCGTCAATTCTCCGTTGTGTACTGTTGGCAGACGCTGGCATGTACAGTTGCGGTCATAATTTTCTCTCGACATACATACATACATACATACATACATACATACATACATACTGTACATCGTTCACTAAGTCATATTTTTTTTTACAAGATAATACTTTTCAATTTTTGTAGGAGATAACGTTTGTCATTATTGTGTATTTAATGTTTATTTTTGGTACCACTTCAGCTGCTCAGGTCTTTAATTATGCACAGGGTTCACCAAGTCTTCATTTCCTACGCTAGACGCCAAACTGGGGTCTTTAAGCACAACTTTACATTAACAACTAAGGTCTTTAAGCACAAGTCTTTTTATCCTCTGCTAGACCAAGACTTTTTACGACTTGCGAAAGAGGGTTATTGTTTGTGAGTGCGTGAAATATTAAGTGGAAACTCACCGCAGATCCTGAAGGTCGGCAGCCTCCAACACGTACCTGTGGACAGAGAGAGAGAGAGAGATGTGAGTTATGCTATTGGTGGTGGGAAACATGAACCAGCCAGCCAAAAATTCCACTGGACAAAATTTCACAGGACATAATGCCACGGGTACAGTCTCATTGGATAAAATCTGACTGGACAGAATTTCATTGGACAAAATCCTACTGGACAAAAATACACTGGATAAACTACACTGGACAAATGATGCCAGTATAGGAAAAAAATGACATTGGCCAAAACTAAAGAGACTTTAATATTCTGTTGGTGTGAGTTAGATGGTTTGGTGACCCTGACTAAGAGGGCCTCACCCCCCTGAATATCATGTCATCGTTAAGCATACGTTTATAATTATGACGTTGGGTTGTGTAAGGTTAGGTCAGGTCAGGTCAGGTCGTATCATGTTGAGTTAGGTTTGGTTTGGGTTAGGGTTGCGTTTGACTGTTAGGTTAGGTTTTGTTGGTTGGGTTGTGTATTGTTTGGTTAGGTCAGGTAGGGTTGGGTTGGGTTAGGCTAGGTTTAGGTTAGGTTATTCATCTCACTTCTGGTTATGACATGTTATTGCCCCTGGTATGACTTAAGAATAATTAAAGGTGTAAATGATATTGAAATATGAATATTACTCAAGGATTGATTCAATAAATTCACACCAGGAAAAAAAATGTTTGAACACAGAATTTAAAGGATGTCCTAAAACATGAAGAATTATTTCTACAACCAGGAAAAGAATATAATTGTAAGAAGGAAGTGGTTGTGTTGTTGAGGGAGGAAACCCGAATTGTTATTATGAAAACCAGGAAAACAATCGTGATTGTTGGGATACGTTCAAGATGATTGGCGTTTTCCTTCTTGGGTGCCGAGTTGTGGTGAGGAATGACGTGTTTGGTGTGATGTACCGAGTTAGACACAGTTCCAGCGTTGGACGAACTTTTAACACTGGATTTAGTATTACGTGAAAACTAACAAGGGTTACTGTGTTGGCTCGTTATACTGGAGGTACACTGTGTGGTAGGGAGGAGTGACAGTGTTAGAGCTTGTGTAGGAACTGTTCTTGCTGCAGTGTTCGTGTTCTGTCTGTGTCGGGCTGGTGACTTTGGGCTGGTAGTGGATGTTTGTTCACGACATCTTAAATTAACCAGAGGAAATTGTATCATGTGAACTAAATTTCATTAAATTATAGCATTAAAACAAGTCAGGTTTATTTTAAGGCTTAGATATTTCCACAAAAGTGTGGGTACCTTGTAAATTTGTATTGCGTGTACAGGATATATATATATATATATATATATATATATATATATATATATATATATATATATATATATATATATATATATATATATATATATATATATTTATTTATTTATTTATTTATTTATTTATTTATTTATTTATTTATTTATTTAAACAAACAAACAAGCAAACGTTGTCCGGCTTCCATGATGGAACACGTGATAGTCATGGTAATATTTTAGCTGATGACCTAAGAGCCCCGTGAGCCAGGCGGCGTCACCCCTCGCCACAGACTCTTCAGCTTGGGGTAAGTCACATTAATTATCCTGTCTTCTTTGTTATGTTCGACGTCAGTAACATTCTGTGAGGTGCAGCGGTACTGCCAACCTCTTTCAACACTACATGGCGGATACACGAGTTGACTTTCATCACAGATATGAAGTATGATTTTACAAGTGTGTGGAGTGAGGTGATGGAAAGATCTGCTGAGGCGTGAGTGGCAGGTTGTGAGGCAGACGTGTGGTATGGGAGCGAGGGGGGAGGGAAGGCTTCTCTGGTGGTCCAGTTCAGACAATGTATATTTAAAGGAGTGCGCTGTACATCCTGTTTCACACACCCACACCTACCCCAGGGCTGCTGCTCCCGGAGCCTCACGCGAAGAGGAGGAGAGGGGGGGGGGTCACAGGTTAGGGTGAAGGGAGGAACAATACACGAGCTGCCCGAGGGTGATACAGTACAGTACATTGCAGCCATATTAAGGACAGTGTCAGGGATCCCGTTGTTAGTGACTGCGCCCACCACCACGCCATGTCCTGCCACCGGTAAGGAGGACCCCTCACCTCTCCCGGAACTATGGGTCTACCACAAAATTATTGAGGCGGTGAGTCACAGATAAGTGTTGTCACGCGCCATGACCCAGTATGTATGATGCGGTGACGGCACTGTATTGGGATGGGAGGTGCATGATGGGTGGATGGTGATGTGATGCTTGTGTAGGTCTGTAGGATGAACGTGTGTAGCCTGGGATGACAAGGCGAGTGTCACTACCTGGCCACGAAAAGCTGTGTCTGCTGCATTGTTGTCAAGATACACGGTAAACCACATCCGGTGTTCCTTGACGCGGCGGCAGGGAGTGTGTGTGTGTGTGAGGGTTTCTCTATTAGTTTGATTTGGTTCACTTAGTTTTCGCATTTCCGGAGAACTTATCTTCTGTGACATTTAAATTTAATAGTGAGATTATTGTTTGTACGTTTATTTTCACTTATTGACAGCCTATCTCATTAAAAAAACAAACATTATGAAAAGTATTCTTCAGCCTTGGAGAAATGTTGAGAAATAGTGTCACACACAGTCCACTGAACAGTTGTCAGTACCCTGTCAGTCGGTATCCTTGTACAGCAGAGTTTAGCAGTATTAAGTTACTCGCCAATCACATGTCAGCTGGGTAGTGGTGGCGAGGGCATTGGTTCCTTGGGCAGGTCAACACCCCTATCTTGTGACGGCCAGATACGCCCACACATGAAGACGGTCGGTTAGGTTACGAGACCACGCGATGCTCCACATGACTGTACACAATCCCCCACCTAACTAACAGTGTATCGTGATGGTCGGCTCTTGGTCTGAGGGAAGTTGTCCTGACGGCTATTGTCCCTGGTCACCTAGCGAGGGGGCAAGACGGCTGAGTCACTGGTGGATCGTCAGCGGTACGGGATGGAGTTAGAATAGTTAACTTAATGACCAGTAAGTAAGTGTATCTTAAGTAATGGGAGTGTATGTTACGATAGGTGGCAGCTGCAGTACACGCTAGTTATGATGACCAACACCGACTGGACAACCGATCATACTTGTACAAAAAAGGTTATTTTTTGTTATTAAATTTCTCCAGTTTGCCAATACAATACAGAGTAAGAGAAGAAGTGAGAGCCTCGACGTGCTCCTCCACACCTGCTGCCTGACCCACGCCTCCTACACCGCCACCACAGTTATTACACAATACAGACACGTACTAGGGCAGGTGAGCGAGCTGCTAGACGTCATCGCTAGGAAAAGATGGTAATGTAAGTGAGGATGTTGATATAATGGTTGTGGTGTGGCGTGGTATGGAGTGGCGTGGTGTGGTGTGGTATGGAGTGGCGTGGTATGGAGTGGCGTGGTATGGAGTGGCGTGGTGTGGCGTGGTATGGAGTGGCGTGGTGTGGTGTGGGGGAAGGTAGTTCTTCCACGAGCTCCCTTTTCTGATAGTACTCCACTCTCACTTATCCCCTACCTACCACCTCACTCACTCACCTACCACCACCACAGTCACACTCCCACTCATACACCTGCCACCTCTCTCACACCCACCCACCTACCCCACTGACCCACCTACCCCACTCACCCACCTACCCCACTCACTCACTCTTACCCAGGGCACGTACTATTGTAATTTGTTGCATAATATGGACGCGGTAGTCGTGACCAGCATGAGCACCCAGGAGGAAGTGTGCGTACAGGGAGCGTATCTGCGGATCTTGTCCAGGTAGGGGGTTGTCGTATTCGCCCCCACAGGTGAATGATTTATAGTACATGTATATAAATTTCGTTCCCGTGTGTGTGTGTGTGTGTGTGTGTGTGTGTGTGTGTGTGTGTGTGGACAGTAACAAATAGTGAATATTTTTAAACGTAGTCTAAATCAAATTATTATTATTATTATCATTATTTATTATCATCGTCATCATCATCACCATCATCGTTGCTCACGTTCATTAGCGTTCTCTCTCTCTCTCTCTCTCTCTCTCTCTCTCTCTCTCTCTCTCTCTCTCTCGTTGTCGCCATTGACCTCTATCCTCATCATTATCATTATCCCGTCCTTCCTCGTTTATTTGCCATAGTGTTATTATTCTTGTCTTCATTGTTTACATTAACCCTGGTCAAGTTTTTTTCTTCAGTTTTTATCTGCCACATCTGTTACCTGACTGTTCCTGTGTAAACATTTAAGTTGTGTGTATTTGCTGCCCCTCGTCCCATTTTCCTTGTTTAGTTTTACTTATTTTGTTTTTGTTTTGTTATTTGTCGAATTCACTTTAATGATCCACTGGTATTTTTTTTATTTTTTTATTTTTTTTGGTTTGTATTTTTGACTAGAATTGATGGGCCGTGGTCGCCAACCCTCAGACATAAAGGTGGTGGGCTGTGATAATGATGACAGGTGTGTGTTGTGGTAGTGGTGATTGCTCTGATGGTAATTGTGAACTGGTGCTGTTGGTAATCGTGTCTGGGTGTTTGCGGTATATTATGAGATGTTGATGGTGATGATGGTAATTGTAGTGGTGGTGGTGCTCGAGACTACTCTTCCCCCCCCCACCCAACCAACTCTCCTTCGCCTCTCCACCTCACTCGCCCACAATTATGATGTGGTATATCTCGACTTTAGCAAAGCCTTCGACAGTCCCCCACGAAAGACTAATAAGAAAGGTAGAAGCACATGGCATTAAAGGTAATATTCTAAAATGGATTAGGGCGTGGTTACAGGACAGGAAACAGCGAGTGAACATTGGCGGAAACTAAATCCCATTGGAGCAACGTCACAAGTGGAGTTCCCCAAGGCTCAGTACTTGGACCATTATTATTTATTATATACATAAACGACATAGATATCGGCATAGACAGCAACATAAGTAAATTTGCTGATGACACTAAAATAGGACGTGTAATTAAATCTGACGAGGACTCCGCAAAACTACAGGAAGATCTAAACAAAAATTTCGAATGGTCTGAAAAATGGCAG